AGGCAGGTATAGTGAATGGTGGAACAGGCTTGAAGGACCGAATGGCCTATTCTTATTCCTACATTGAGCAAATATTCCCCTTTTTAAGAAACCAATGTATTTGGAATTGCCTAAATATACTTCCTTTCAATAGCTCCTTTAGCTTCTAGGAAATTATTAAATCATGCAACTGAAAGAACCCATTTGACAGGTGTTCATTTTTATTCTCCAGATCCAAGATATCAGTGTTGAATCAGAAGACAACAAGGAAAAGAAATCTGCAAAAGATGCTTTGCTGTTATGGTGCCAGATGAAAACAGCAGGGTGAGTGCTACCAGTGGAATTTTTGTTGTAATAATGTTTCAGCATGACAGTCGGTTGGATTTTATCAGGCACATGCTCCTTACCTCACCAGCCAAAAAAGGGAAGGCAGTGACATATTGATAATGTCACTGGACTAGTATTCCAGAGGCCCACACTAATGTTCTGAGGATATCGGTTTGATATCTGACCATTTACAGTTCACAGGAGCTTGTGATCTTCAGAATAATCACGAAGTGACCTATTTGATTCCTAGTGATCACACTGGATCGCCTTCCTGATTAGAGGATGGTAGACACTTTTCTTGGTGCTTCCCCATTCCTTATTCCTCAGGAAGTCAGGCCTTTCTGAAGATTGAACGTTGAAGCTACTGCAGTCTTAATATTGAAAATACCGTTAGGAAGGGATGGGTTGGGGATACTAAATTAAAATTAATTGTGGCAGATGGTGAGATTTGAATTCAATAAAAATGTGGAATTAAAAGCCCATCTAATGGCGACCATGTAACCATTGTGGATTGTCATAAATACTCATCTGATTCACTATGGTGCTTTAGGAAATGAAATCTGCTATCCTTACCCAGTCTAACTTGTGCGTGTCACCAGATACATTAGTACTGTGATTGACTCTTAATTGCCCACAGAAATGGACTTGCAAGCCACTTAATTCAAAAGTATTTAGGAATGAGCAATAAATGCTGGTCTAGTCTGGATTTCAGGTAAATCTGAGGTATCATGGGCTTTTAAAGGCTGATGTGTAGGGTTAAAGGGTTGGGGTAGTAGGGGAGGAGTAAGAACAAGGAAGTGGGTGTGAGTGGCAGGTGCAGTGGTACCACAAGGTAGCCTTCAAAGGAAATCCTCCCCCTTCCTACTCCACCCCAGATCATGCAGTGAAAGCTGCTGGGCTACTTAAAATAGTGATCTGAGGTACTTAAATGGTGACTAATGGACCTTAGTAAGTCCAAGATCAAGTGGGCCATTTGACACATCAAGTGCCTTCCCAGTAAAATGGGAGTGAAGTTGGGAAGGTGATGGGCAGGCTACCCACTGAATTTTTGTGCAACACACATACCATGTGCACACACCACCCACCCCACTTCAAGCACACCAGCAGAGAAGCATACAATGCAGCTGAGTGATTTTTCTTAGTTGAACCTTAATAACAACATTAAAAAAAATGTTTTGATGGAATGCCGTATCCAAGTCTTACTTGGGTTTTCAAAACAAAACCATAATACTTTGTGTTTTCTAATTATGAAGGAAAGTACATTTAATAGGTGTATCATGTAATAGTCTCCTCATTTGGAGATTTTTTTTTAAAACCATTTGTGAAACCCTCTTTTTGCAGTGATTGCATTGGTACTTGGAAATAGTGTGAAATTGAATATTTAACTTACTTTGGTTGAATATCTCAGTAAAGTATTCCTTTAGAGTATCCATGTGGTAGATTCATGTATTTATCATGTTATACTTTTAAAGGAATATTATTTGAAAATCAGTTGAGGTTTTACTGACAAAGTAAGGGTGAAAAAAATACATTCCCAATTCTTAAGTCTTACACACATCTCGCATGTATCCATCTAGCCATGTAGGTGTAAGTATGCGACCTTTACTTTAAATTGCTCTTTTTGGTATTAGGTAAATTAATTCTGGCATTGGTTTCCATAAAGTTTTGGTATTTTCTAAAGTATTAGCAAAAGTATGAATAAATTAACACTGTATTTGCATTTTTTTAAACTGCCTTAATTTTACAAGCACCTATATTTTGACCTTATTTGACATCCTATGTTTAATCCTGGTCTTATCCAATAAAAAGTTAGTTGCTTTAAATAAGAGGGGCTCCACATTTGCTAACTGAATTTTACTATCGGGAGAGGCAGTTATTTTCTGGTTACTATATGCCAGTGTTACAGACCAGATCAGACCCCCTCAAAATATTTTAAAAAGGTACTCTAGACCCTAACTTTTTCAAGCAAAAGCACAATTTATTTAAACGCTATAGTTAAAATACAAACAAAAGAAAGAAGTACTTAGAATAGCAACTCCAATGGAAAACTTAACCGAATAATAGATATGGTAACTGTTACTATTAACTGTTACAGTATAGTAACGTTCCATGAACACTCCCTTGGCAAAAAAGGTAAATTCAGAAAAGATTTGTCTGACAGGCAACCTAGCATGTGCACCAGAGATGAGGATTTGCGTAAGTGATCACAATTCAGTCACAATATTGCAAATCATAAGGAGATTCCCTCTGTAACCAAGTTATAATTCTGTCTTTGAAGCATGATTTAAAGTGTTATCAAAATGACAACCATGAATTGATCTAGCGTGTTAATTTTAGCTTGTTGCAGTTAATTCTTCAATTTGGTTCTCGATTAGAAATAAAATCTTACACTTCCTTTTCCTCTCCATAGCTACCCCAATGTCAATATTCACAACTTTACCACCAGCTGGAGGGATGGCATGGCATTCAATGCTGTTATACACAAGCACAGGTATGTTGGCATTGTTAGCTGTAAATGAATATTTAAATCACACCATTTGCATTCATCTTGCAGTATGTACACGGCCATATCTTCTCACTGTTTTATCATTTGGTCAGGCCGGACTTGATCGATTTTGACAAGCTTAAGAAGTCTAATGCTCACTACAATCTCCAGAATGCTTTCAACCTTGCAGAGCAGCACCTTGGACTTACCAAACTGCTGGATCCTGAAGGTTAGTTTTTAATGGTTCATTTTTAAATCTTAGCATGAAACTTTGTTGGAAGTGTTCATTTAATGGTTTTGTATAATTTGCTGCTTGAGAGTATTTAAAGAATGTTATTTGGATTGTGTATTGTTAATTCCCCACTCATAAACAATCCTTTTATTTCATGAACTCTCCTCCACCTCCATTCCTGGCACCATTCTTCCAAATTAATGTTCATAGTAGATTTAAGTTGATTTTGGATTCATAGATAGCACTGAAATATTACCAATATTATTTGGGTCCTCTCCCTTGTCACCTTTGAAATGCGCATTACCATCAATGACCTTCATGGTCACTGTCATATAATGATCCTTAAAACTGGCAATTCCCCCTTATTTACAGTTTATGCAAGCTGTTTTGGAACACTGCTATGCAGCTAGGTAATACTCAACATTTGTTTGCCAGATGTCAGTGTTGATCACCCTGATGAAAAGTCAATTATTACCTATGTGGTGACATACTACCACTACTTCTCCAAGATGAAGGCCCTGGCTGTGGAAGGAAAGCGCATTGGAAAGGTATTTCAAAAATTCTTGTAAACTATTCTGTATTCATTTGAGGAGGACGTCCAGTAAGATCAAGAACAGTATGATGTTCTGCAGTGGTGAACTATATAGCGGTTTTTGTAACATGTGAAATTGAAATGTATTGAAGTATAATTGTTCCATCTTAAGTATTTAAATTCCATTATCAATGGTCAGATCTTTTCTCTGTTTTTATCTCTGCTAATGTATTGAGTGGACACATACAGTTACTTGCCTTATTTTTAGAAAGATATTTTTCTTATTTATGGTAAATGCCTCATCATTCTATGATAGCTTAACTAAGATCATAGACTTATTAGATGGATTTTAACACCCAATAACAATCTCCATAAACCATAAAATACAGGAGCAGAATTAAAGTATTCGACCCATCAAGTCTGCTCCACCATTTGATCATGGCTGTTGTTTCTCAAACCAATTCTCCTCCCTTCTCCAGGTAACCCCTGATCCCCTTACTATCTCTGACTTAAATACACTCTGACTTTGCCTCAGTAGCCTTCTAAGGCAGTGAGTTCCACAGATTCACCTCTCTGGCTGAAGAAATTCCTCCTCCTCCCATTTCTAAAGGACCATGCCTTCACTCTTAGCCTGTGCCCTTAGGTTCTCATCTTTCCTAATGGTGAAAACATCATCTTCACATACAGTCTATCCAGGCGTCTCAATGTTCAAAGTTTCAATGCTATCTCCCACCCCACATCTTTCCAAACTCCATCACGTGTAGACCTAGAGTCCTCAACCGTTCCTCATATGACAAGCCCTACATCCCTGGAATCATCCTTGTGAACCTTCTCTGGACCCCTTCAAGGCCAGCAGATTCTTGCTTAAATACAAGGCCCAAAACTGCTCTCAGTATTCCAAATACAGTCTGACCAGAGCCTTATACAGCTTTAGCAGCACATCTCTGCTCTTGTATTCTAGCCGTCTTGAAATGAATGCCAATATTGCATTTGCCTTCCTAACTGCCAACTGAACCTGCACGTTAACCTTAGCCTGCACGTTAACCTTAAGCCTGAACTAGGATTCCCTAAGTCCCTCTGCTTCAGATTTCTGAAACCTTTTCCCATTTAGAAAATCGAGTATGCCTTTATTCTTCTTACCAAAGTGCCTAACCTCCGACTTTCCCATGCTGTATTCCATCTGTCACTTCTTTTGCCCGCTTTCCTAGCCTGTCCAAGTCATTCTGCAGCCTCTCTGCTTCCTGTCCACTACCTCTCCGTCTGCCTATCAATGCCATCAGTTCTCCTTAAAAGGTGACAAAGTATTTATTTAGTCAGTTAGGTTGCTGGGCTTAAAATGTTTGAGCTACCTGACCTCCTTGATCATGTTACCATCACTTAACTCATTCCAAGGAATCCATTTGAATATGATTAACACATTAAACAATCCCAGAACTTTATATACTGTGCTCGCTTCGGCAGCACATATACTAAAATAGTAATGATGTAGAGATTAGCATGGCCCCTGCACAAGGATGATGCACAAATTCGTGAAGCGTTCTGGGTGGCACGGTGGCTCAGTGGTTAGCACTGCTGCCTCACAGCACCAGGAAACCCGGGTTCGATTCCACCCTCGGGCGACTGTCTGTGTGGAGTTTACACATTCTCCCCGTGTCTGTGTGGGTTTCCTCCGCGTGCCCCGGTTTCCTCCTCTGGTCCAAAGATGTGCAGGCTAGGTGGATTGGCGATGCTAAATTGCCTGTAGTATTCAGGGATGTGTAGATTAGGTGGGTTACAGGGAGATGGGTCTGGGTGGGATTCTCTGAGAGTCATTGTGGACTTGTTGGGCTAAAGGGCCTGTTTCCACACTGTAATGATTCTTTAATCTATGATGAACTTATTTCCTGATATTATTGTGGAATATCCTTTTTGCAAATTTGACATTTCTTGAGTTTTGTTGCTTTAAAGTTGTTCTGTTTTCACCTGTGACAGGTACTTGATTGTGCAATTGAAACGGAAAAAATGATAGAAAAATATGAATCACTGGCATCTGACCTGCTGGAGTGGATCGAACAGACTATCATTATCCTGAACAATCGGAAATTTGCCAATTCACTGGTTGGCGTACAGCAGCAGCTACAAGCTTTTAACACATATCGCACTGTAGAAAAACCATCAAAGTAAGATTATTAAAAGTTACTAAATTGCTTCTTAAATTAGCGTCATAAGTCACTTGGGAAAACATAAATACAAGCTGATTATTGAACATTTCTCATAGCTATCTGACTCCGTATACTTAACAGTACACTCATAATGCACAAATAAGGTAAACTGTTTAGAATTTTAACAGAAGAAACCTGGGTAGATGATGATAGTTAGCTAGCTTTTCAGAGTAGTTTAACTTTTTTTTTAAGTTTATGGAGATGGATGACACTGAGACTTGATAGACAATTTCAGAATTTTACCAAGCCGCAGTAAAGGAATGGAATTTTAAGTCTAAATCAGGTTAGTATTTTGTTGGGAAATGATGTTGTTTCGGTTTTGCTGTTGTGCTTTTCACTACCACAAGGGGCTGAGAGGTACTGTAGAATTGGGTTTGCATTCCTACTGATAACGTGTACTGTTAGTTATAGTTTGCTGGTGATGGAAGGAAATGAATATTAAGACAGCAGAAGGACTGGCATTCAAGCAGACAGCCCTGTTACTGAATATTGTCAAGCTTTTTGAAAACTCTTGTCACTGAGTGTGCTGTTTTGAAGTATCAGGACATTGCCTCTTGTAACAAAAATGTAAATTGCTGGAGAGATTCAGCAGGTCTGGCAACATGTGTGGAGAGAAAGCAGAATTAACGTTTTGGGTCCAGTGACCCTTCTTCTTCAGAACAAATGTTACCTGCTCCTAGTCTATCAAAGTTGAAAATTATTTGATTGAGAGTGAGCTTTTCACAGTACAAATGGGCAGTTCTGATTTGCCAAAGCTCTCATCTCTTGCCATCATCAGGAGCAATGTAAGCTCATTTCATGTATGCCAGGTGCAATTTTCTGGAATTTACAATTAATTCTATCACTATTAAACTTGGACGTCGCCTGTTGAGTTTTGCAACAGAAACGCTAAAAGAATAAAATTTCCATTATTATTAAGTAATATCTAAAATGATTTGGCTCTTGTCTGATGCTTTGTTTCTTTCTGACATAGGTTTACAGAGAAAGGAAATCTTGAAGTATTGCTTTTCACCATTCAAAGCAAAATGAGAGCAAACAATCAGAAAGTGTATATGCCAAGAGAAGGCAAACTCATCTCCGATATCAACAAGGTAATTATGAAAAAGTGTTCATTTTGTTTTGCTTCCTTCTTGACGGAAATATATTTAATCTTGTCAGAAGCCTGTTGTAGTTTGTGCAGGCAACTACATCCTTTGAGTAGGGCTAGCATTTATTGCACCGCTGGTTTCTGGGTTTTGCCGAAGATGAGAATTCAGTTGAGTGCATTAGCTTCAAATAGTACAGTAGAATTGCACAGAGATAAGTAATTTAGCCATCAAGCCTGCATGGCTTTTCCAGAGAGCGATCTAGTTAGTCCCACCTTCCAGATTTGGAGACAGTGAGGGCAGCTGATGCTGGAAGCTAGAGTCAATAAATGTGGAGCTGGAAAGGCACAGCTGGTCAGACAGTATCCAAGGAGCAGGGAAGTCAACGTTGTGGGCGAAAACCCTTCGTCAGGACTGGTGGAGAAAAAACGTTTGTTGAGGGTGTGGATCCTCTTGAGGACAAAGGGCAGTAGTGGTCCCCTGCAGGTCTGGAACAGGGCTGACTGCAGGGAGAGAAGGTGTTGATGCATGGCTGCGAGTGTGGAGCTGAGACTCCACAGGAAAAACCATTTCTGGATGCCCAGGAGGTGCTGTAGATAGAAGTTGTCACGATTGGGTCCAAATTGCAATGGTCTTCATGTTATTTGGAGTCTTTGGGGGATAAGCCGGCTGCGTGGAAGGGCACATGGCTGTCATAGCAGGATTGCTTCAGAATGTGGTCGAAGAGCTTCAGGGCAGAGGAGATAACCAAGAGGAGGAATGCAGTGGGAGAGAGACTCACTGAGCTCTCTTCAGAGGGAGGAGGAAAACTTCTTCAAGGTGGCCCAAAACGTTGACTATCCTGCTCCTCGAATGCTGTCTGGCCGGTTGTGCTTTTCCACCTCCACATTTATTGCCCGTAGTCCTACCTTCCACTCTTCTGATCCATCTCAGCAAATATCTCTCCGCATGTTTATCGTATGCTCTTTTGAAAACTGCTGTTGAATCTGAACGCGTCATGAAACACAGTGTATTCCAATCCCAATTGGTTATTGTGAAAAGAAGTTTTTCATTATGTTGATTCTGGTTCGTTTAGCAAGTAGTTCAGATCTGTGCCCTTTCAGCCTTGGAAACAGATTTCCTTCAGCCTGCATAATTTTAAACACTTCTACCAAATCTCTTCTCGACATCACTGTTCTAAGAAAAGCATATCTAGCATTTCCAGAGTACTCACGTAATTGTAATCCCTCATCCTTGGAACCATTCTAGTAAATCACTCTCCACTTTTTCCAAAACCTTCACATTCATTCTAAAGTATGGCTGTGGCGAATTGGACCCAATACTACAGCTGGGACAGAATTAGTGTTATCACAGGTTTATCATAAACATCTGTCTTTTTCACTCTTCTTTAATTTATAAAGTTCAGGATTCCCATGATCTGCTTTCTTAATCTGTCATATTAGCCTTAAAAATTTGTGGGTGAATGCCCCAGGTGCGCCTCTTCTGACACCACCTTTGAAATTGAACCAATTGGCATGTATTGGCTTATCCCATTTCCAAATGGTATCTTATGATGGAAAGTATCCAGCAGGGACAAAATTTAGGTGAACATAAGGAAAGGTCAGGAATAGATGGTAGATAAATGCTTGATCATGACAGGGCCGTACAGCATTGGAGAATAGCATTTCTTCTAATATTTGTGTTTTTTTAAACAATAGCTCTCTGTTGTATTGTCTTGTGTTGTTGTCTCTCATCCCAGTGCGTTTTGATTCCCTACCACTCCTTTAAGATACTGTTAAAGCCATGAGCTATCTCTATGATCAGACCCTGGTTCTCAATATCATAAGACATGGAAGCAGAAATAGACTATTTGGCTCATAGAGCTTACTGTGCCATTCAGTGAGATCATGGCTGATCTAATAATCCTCAGCTTTTCTGCTTTTTCTCCACACCCTGGATTCCCTTACTGATGATTAAAAATTTGTCTATGTCAGCCATGAATATATTTAACAGCCCAGCCTCTACAGTAACCATCTATAGTAAGGAATTCAGCACATTCACTATCCTCTGAGAGAAGAATTTCCTCCTCATCTTTATCTTAAAAGGTCGATCCCTTGCTCAGGGATTATGTCATCTGGACCAAGACTCTCCCATAGCGGGAAATAACCTTTCTGCGTCTATCCTGTCAAATCCTCTAAGAATCCATTTGTTTCAGTAAGGTCACATCACATTCTTCAAAGCTGCAGTGAGTACAGGTCCAACCTACTCAACCCACAGGAAATACAGAGGATCAGAGGGACCTTTAGGATGAATATCCACAGATCTTTGAAGGCAGCAGGACAGGTAGATTAGGTGGCTAAAAAGGCTTATGGGATATTTGCCTTTATTAGTCAAAGGGTTGAACAGAAGAGCAAGGTGGTTATGATGGAGCTGTATATAACGTTAGTTAGGCCATGGTTGGTGCACTGTGCAGTTCTGGTCGCCACGCCATAGGAAAGATGTGATTACTAGAGAAGATACAGAAGAGAAACAGGATATTGCCTGGGCTGGACAAATTCAACTATGAAGAAAGACTAGATAGGTTGTGTTTATTTTCCTTGGAGCAGGGAAGGCTGAGGGGGAATTCTGATTAAGGTGTACAAAATTCAGACAGGCCTAGGCATGGTAGATAGGGAGAAAATTTTCCCTTAGTAGAGGCGTTAATAACCTGGCGGGTGGGAGTTTAAGGTAAGGAACAGGAGGTTTAGAGGATAGAGGGAACAACAAAATTCATCCAGAGGATTGTGGGTATCTGGAACTCCCTGCCTAAATGTATGGTCAAGGCAGAAACCCTCGACATTTGAGAACTATTTAGCTGAACATTTGAAATGTCAGAGCATTCAAGGCTGGAAATGAGATTAGAACAGATGGACGTTTGCTGACTAGCACAGACACAATGGGTCAAAGGGCTTCTTTCCATGATGGAAAAACTCTGACTCCACTAGTCCCAGAGCCACTCTGTGCTGAAAAATTATTATTTCTGATGCTATCTGGTTGAACACACAGGAACAGGAGCAGGCCATTCGGGACTGGAGTCATTCTGTCATTCTATTAAATCACAGTAGATCTGTATCTCACTGCCATTTACCCGCCATATTCCTTGATAACTCTTACCTAACATACCTTTGAAAATTGAAAATTTGTTGACCCAGCATCCACAATCTTTTCTAGGGAGAGTGTTCTTTATTCCTGGGTGAAAAAGTAATCTTTAATCTCTTTCATAAAAGCCCTTCCTTACTCACTAT